TGTGGAAATTAATGGACAAATTTATTGCCCAAACTTGAGTTCATTTTATTTAATTATTACTCGTACTCTGCTGAAGACAATACTATTGGTTTACCAACTTAATACTACATCCGGTCCATTAATTTTTAGTTGCAACGAAAGAATTTTTTTTATATCTTATTAATAATATTCTTTTATTGCAACTAAAAATTAAAAGAAATAGTACAAAAACTTATTGTTTGATAATGACTTAAACACTACTACAGGGTGTAGTAGTGTTTAGTTGTGGAGAACTAGAGAAATTTTAAATTAAAGGAAAAATTGATTCTAATAATCCCACCTTTAACCGATTAGCTGCTAATAATCTCACTTTTTGATTATTATCTAATAATCCCACCTTTGGGGGGTATTCTCTTCTAATTGTCCCTTATGATCGGTAACTTGTTGTTTGGGTAAGTTTTTTTTTTTTTTTTTTTTTTTTTAAAAAAAATTCCTTGGCCACGCATTAGTGCATCACCCCCTTCCCCAACCACGAGTCCCTCTTCATTTCCAACCACCATCACCAACAATAGCAATTAACCCAATTCATCCCCTCATACCACGCAATCCCTTTGCCTTCGCTACTCCTTGCTGACTCACTAACAGTCACGCCACCAGCATCCTTTTCACCAGCAAGCCACCACCCGCGCAATTCAGCCATATCGCAATCCCTGCACTCCAATCTGCCACCAATCAACAGCAATTCGACCTCCAAATCATTGCAATCAGCAATTCGGCCACCAACAATCATTGCAATCACCAATTCGGCCATCAACAACTTCAATTGATGCTCCAATTTGAAGACCCAAGATGCGCCTTTGTTGGGGTGGGGATTTTCGTGGTGGGGAGGGCTGGGGTGGCGTTTTTAAGGGGTTAGGCAAGGTTGGGGTTGGGCGTTTCGGGGTGTGGGAAGGCTGAAATGAATCGATTTGGGGTGAGGATAGATTGGGGTGGGGTGATTCGAGGGTGCGGGTGGCTGGGATAGGCTATTTTAGGGGTGGGCGTGGCTGGGGTTTTGTGTTTCGGTGGTGGAGGTGGTTGGGGCGGGTTGTTTCAGGGAGGGGCATGGCTGGCTCTGGTGTTTCGGGATCATGGGTGGGAGTGGCTGGTTGCAAGGGGAGGGGTGGGTTGCCTAGCCGGGATAAATGGAGGAAGGAGGGGAAAACGATAAGGAAGAAGGAAAGGGAAAAAAATTAATTTAAAATTTTTTTTAAAATAAAAATATAAAAAAATATTTCGACGAATCACAAAGTGACACGTGACATGTTAATCCATTATACCGGTTACCAACAGATTAGGGACCATTAGAAGAGAATGCCCCCTAAAGGTGGGATTATTAGATAATAATCAAAAGGTGGGATTATTAGTAGCGAATCGGCCAAAAGGTGGGATTATTAGAATCAATTTTTCCTAAACTAAAAGCTAAAATTATTAGATTTTGTAAATAAAAAGTATATTGTTGTTGTTGGTATTTTTTTTTTTATTTTTTTTTTTCATAATGTGTATCTAAATTATGCAGAAAATGGCTTACTACTTACTAGTCATTAGGGTCTCGCTTTGCTCGGGCTTTATTTCTCTATATTATTTGATTTAGTATTCTATTAATTTATTCTATAAAATGATTGTATTTAGATAATATTTTTCAAAGATTTAGCAAACCTAATTCGATAAGTATACAAAATATATACAAATATATCCTATATCTTTGACAAATATTATCTAAATATAATATTTATTATATTTTTCAAACCATAATTGACTGAAACAACACAAACTATTATATGGGTTTTTACAAACTTTAAGTGGAGCAACTAACATCATGAACTTTGGGGTTTGATGTCGTAAATGACATTAATGTTTCCCGTGTCAAATCAAGAGTTAAATTAGTAACTAATTAATATCAGAGTGGTGACAAATCTGACAATGCGCAGCAGCAGAAAACCATGAAAGCCAATACATGAATTCCTAAATTATCAACTGAAAAGGCAACAGAAGCAATTTTTTTTTTTTGATCAATCAAAAGCAACAGATTAATAGCTTATAGCTTGTTTAAAAAAATAATTAAAAAAAAAAAATTGCTTATAGCTAACGGGAGTGCTAAACAGTCCAAACGACGACAAAAAAAAAATTAAAAAATACAGTAAAATTATAGAGTAAGAATATGTAAATAAATGGAATCTGTACTTTTTAGGATAATAATTATTTATTTATTTTGAATAAAATTGGTAAGGGTAATTTCATTAAATAAAAATAGTCATTCAACGCTTACAATCATTGCTTAAGAAATCTAAATTCTCAATATAAGTATTAAACACCCTAAACTTATGTCATCGCTTCTGAACTCCTCGTTAAGATGAATCTTCTAAATTTGCATGGCTAGATTTGGAGGGAGGGAACATAAATTTTAATAGGGTTTTGAAAAAGTTACGCTTTTTGGTAGTTATAGTATACTTTTCAGAATAAATATAACGATAATAATTATAATAATAATTAGAATAATAATTATAATGATAACTATAATAATAATTATAATCTGGGTGGGGGCCCAGATTGTATCTCGGCTCCCCACTAATTTCTTGTAAACTGTTTGACTTTGTAGATTTTTGTTACAATAATAATTATAATAACAATAATAATAATGATAATAATAACTATATTTGTCTTTGAAACTACGCTCTTCATCTTCATCTCCAAAACGCTGCATATGTGAGGCAGGGTTCACTTGTGGAGGCGGGTATGCTATTGTTGGTGGTGGGAGAGGGTTCGATTGTGTACGCGGAGGCCGAGGCGGGGGTGGAGGCGAAGGTCGAGGAGGATGTGGAGGCGGAGGCTGAGGCAGAAACCCTTGTCCACAAGTGCATGTTTTTCCTTTTCCTTTAGTGTCTGTAGGGTCATCTTTTTGCGGATACCCTACAAATCAAACGTTGCAAAAACAAAAATTTGATGATCAATTTGAAAGCAATTAAGACATTAATTAAATTCAATAATTCAATACCACCTAAAAAAACTAAATTTAATGGAAATAAAACATCCAATTATTGAACTAACCTTGACCTGATCTGCATATGTTGGAGAGAGAGGAAAACAATAAAGAATTGCAAACTAAATCTTATTCATAGGAGACCAAACTTCTAATAATTTGAAGTTTATCCTAATCTAATCTAATAGATATATATATATATATATATATATATATATATAAATAATATATGCATTTTTGGAGAGCATTCGGAGCGCCATGTAAGAAATATACTTATTTCGACCAATAAGAAGAAAGATTTGTATTTTATTTTTGAATTAAAAAATTATGTCGCCACCTGGATAAAAATAACGAATTAGATTTGATATATCTAAAATTTTGATACCACGTAGATTATAATCCACGAATTAAATTATTTTAAAGAAAAAAATAAAGTAAAAATATAGGAAAAGATAAATTTATTAATTCAATACTACGAGTATAAGAAATCAAAAAAAAAAAATACTAAAAAATATTTAAATGATAAACGCTTATAATAAAGTTTGATACGTATCATTATAGCATAAATTTTGATAGTATTTATGATAAGAAATACAAATTATTCGTTAACTATAATTAAATTAAAATTTGTGATACCTACCATTATAAATTGACACATCATACGACACAAACAAATTTCATATCAATAAAAAACCCCATCAAGTGAATTTTGTGTTAGTAATTTTGTGTTAATTTTTGGTCATCAATGACCTAGTAATTTTTAGCTTAATTTTTAAAATCCTATATTTAAATTAGTATTTCTAATTATTACTTACATTGTATTAATTTGGGATACTCAACGATTATATGTTTATGTTTTATTTACTAAATGTTTTTTTTTACATGCAGATCTAACACATCATATGACATAAATAAAATTTCGTATCAATACAAAATCCCATCAAGTGAATTTTTTGTTAGTAATTTTATGTTAGTTTTAGGTCATCAATGTCCGGGTAATTTTTAAAATCTTATGTTTAAATCTATATTTGTAATTATTAATTACATTGTATTTATTTAGGATACTTAACGATTATTTGTTTATGTAATGGCATACGATTAGATGTTGTATACTTTATGTATGGATGACTTTGGTTATTTTTGGAGATGATGAAAAAATTCCAATGCATAGATTTGATTTTATATCGCAACAATTTTTCATTTATTGGTAAATATATTGATTTATTTTATATAAATGTAAAGATTTAATTTATATCAATTTCAGTTTGGCTACCATTTCACGGTTCAATTTATCCATTGATGTAGTAAGTTGGTTGTGGACGAGGTTGGTGATTCTATCGAAATAAAAGATATGGTAAAACAATGAATAATGATTTAGGATTTAAATTATTAAAAATTTATCATTTCACATTAAAAATTTTATATAACAGAAAAAATATCATATTTATAATTTATTTATATTTAATAAATTCATTATAAATTATAGTAAAAAAAAGAATAAATATTAAACTTTTGTAATTTTGTCTGAAATTATTATATACAATAAATCAAATAATTAAAAATCTTTGATAAAAAACCGTGCATCGCACGGGCTTCCATCTAGTTCTATACAAAATAGGAAATTCAAACTTAATTACGTTAAACCCTAATATTCTGTAAAAAAAAATAATAATAATAAAAAAAAAGTAAAAAATAAAATAAAAAATAAAATAAAATAAAAAATTGTTAAGCCCTAATATTGTATTTAGTCTTTGGGCCGCCAATGTTTAAGGCCTAATATATTCTTTAGGTTGTATACAAACCAAGCAAACTCCGATCCTAATGCTATTAGAAGACACTTCTATAAATATTTGTTAACCGCCTTCTTTTATTTTGCTAAACAAAATTACTTAATCTCACATGTGAAGCACTACAAGATCGATAATAAAGCCTATAATATTCGCAAAAGAAATTTTACTTTGCTTAAATTATTTTGTTTTTTTTTTTTTTTTTTTTTGTTTAAGATACTGATGAAGCCAATAGAAATAATCTGGCCGTAGTTTTCTTTTGCAAGATGAAAGTACTCAACTTTTCTTAATAACAACGAAATTTTAACGTACAAATTACATTCAAGTAATATAGCTACTTTGGATCTAAAAAGTAATATAGCTACTTCTAATTTACCTATTTAAGACAAATAAATAAAATTCCAATGTTATAACAACATACTATGACAATTATTGCATGAGTTATTCAAACATACAAAATCCTCGATTCATAATAGTAAATCCTCCATCCACAACAAGATTATGGCCACTAATAAACTTCGAATCATCACTAGCAAGAAATAAAGCTGCTTCGGCCACATCCTCTAATGTACACTTAGCCCCTTTGAGATTTGAGTATACTTTAGCTATTCCTTCATCATCTAGCTTAAAGAAGCTCCTAGTCATTGGAGTCGAAACCACGTATGGTGACAAACAATTCACCCTAATCCCATGATTTCCGAGCTCCACAGCTGTGTTCTTTGTAAGACCTAGCACACCATGTTTCGAGCTAACATAGGCATGAGATGCCGCACCTCCTATGGTAGAGGAAATACTCGCATGATTGATAATGGTACCCCGTTTGGCCGGGATCATTACTCGAGCTGCATGCTTAGTACACAAAAAGGGGCCAATAAGGTTCACCCCCAAGATTTCTTTGAACTCGGATTCAGTGATGTCAAGGATGTTTGGCTTGGACATGCCTGCAATGCCTGCATTATTAAACATGATGTCGAGCTTTCCGTATTGGGACATCGTCGAGTCTACTACATTTTGTACGTGGCTTTCATTCGTGACATCGCAATGAACGTATGAGGCTAATGATGTGCCTATTTCTTTGCAGACAGATTGGCCGAAGTCATCTTGGATATCAGCAATTACAACTTTGGCACCATGTTTAGAGAAAACTTTAGCAGCGTATTCACCGATTCCAGCAGCGCCTCCTGTGATAAGGGCCACTTTGCCTTCCAACCTGTAAATTATAAACGTAAATGTAAACCACTTAGTATCCACAAATGAAATTCATCAAGGAACTCCATTTCTACCTTCTTCATATTATATTTCTACTATACATGAAGTATTTTTAACTTAAATAACATAAAATATTATATTATACTCTATATTACTCGCTTACTTTATTTTAGGATTATTAACACAATTTGACTTTTTTTTACTATTCATCTATTTGATTTTAGCACATATATACTTGATATATTTTTGTTTTTGTTCATGTAAATTATTGTTACCTTTTTTTTGTTTTTTTTTTTTTTCAAATGTTACACTTTGACCGTCACATAGTTGTATTAGTTAGATTAATAGACTTTCATTTAACTTAAAAAAAAGTAGGGTAGTTAGGATACTAAAAATTTATTAAAAAAGATAGTAAGATTAATATTTTATTGAAAAGTAAAGAAAGTGAGATGGAAATAAAATTAAAAGAAGAAAGAATTCAGAAATATTGCTTACCTTCTTACTGCGCCAGAAAAATTTGAGAAATTTGCCATATGCCTATGTATACAGACAAAGGAAGAATTAGAGACTGTTGACGTACTAAGCTCATCTTATTAATAAATCATACAATAAGAGAATATATTGTGTATATTCATCACATAAAACACACTGTATAATGAAGATATAAGATGGAATGTTAAAGTCAGGGCAAAATTTATTGCTTGGTAAGTAAGCTTGTTACGACAATATTGAGTATTGAAGCCAAAAGAAAATAAAATGTTACCATACAAATCTCCAAATGTTGAAAAACTTAAAATGAAGGATCATAAAACTTATGACTTTTTTTATGATAAGAAAAGTTATGACGATTTTCTATTAAAATTGAAATATGCTAAGAAAATAAGTACTTATATTTTATAATGTATTGTTAATTTGTTATTATATATGTGTTTCTAAATATCGTTAAAAAAAAAGTGTTTCTAAATGTGTAGGTTCTCATAATTAAAATGCTAAAAATTATTTATAAAATAACCCTTTATTAAGAGAAATCGACTTACCAATGAGAATGGATAATATATTTATTAAAGCTCATAATAACTAAAACGCTAAAAATATTTATAAAATAATCCAAACTTACCAATGAAAATGGATAACTAGACTAGTTGATGAATATTTGATTTTATAGAATGAGAATTGAGAGAGAAATAGATTCGGAAATTACCGTTGCTGAGGTTTATATAGGCCAGGTTTTAAAAATACATGTCATTATTTTATAAGATTAACCACGCGTTAATAATGATTTTAATTATCTAATTACACCATGCAATACTAGCTTTCCCTCTACCTAACTTTTCTCCATCAAACTTTGGTCATCCTCAAAAGTCACATGTTATTTCTCATAAATATGAAAGAACGCGATAGAGTATATAAATCGATCACGAGCTTCATCCATCAGTTTATGTTTTTTATTGAGTTAATAATTTAACAGTTTATAAGAAGGAAACAGATTCAAGAGGTAAATTAAAGATATACTTCTTCCGTTCCAATAATATTGCAACAATGATGAAATTACGCATCCCAAAGCACATTTTATATGTTAAATATCTATAATTGTATAAGAGTAAAAATTATAAAAAGTTGATATTGTGAAAGTATTTTATGAGACGAATCTAACAAGATTTTACATGACTATATTTTGCTTAACGTATAAATCATATTATATTGTCAAACAAGAGTGGTGAATAGTGCAAAAATTTCATTGTTGCAATATTAATAGAACGAAGAAAGTATGTAACAAGATATTTTATAATTTTATTTTGTCTTGAAAAAAAAAAATAAAGCATGAAATTTATAATGAGAACATGTTAAGAATCGCAATAATATTTTAGGTAGTACCCACAACAACCCACTCTACTTTTACTTTATACTTCCAGTCTCATTCCAACTCCCTGACACACTGCATGGAGAATGGAATATTTTAGAACTACTAGAGAACAGCCGAAGGTTGGTTAGTGTAAATGGTCTACTATTCCTTATAAAAATAATGTTCATTTAACTTATTGAACAAGTTGCTCCTTTAATTGTTACGAGTAAAATGTTTTTTCTTTTCATTTAATCATGTACTTCCTCTCTTTCAATATAAGTGCATTTGATTGTGTATGTATAACAACATGTACGGTTTGTTGAATAGGAAAGTGGAAGAGAAAAGGAAGCTGGAGGGAAGAAGAAGGAAGGGAAGGGAGAAGGTAACCTTAAATATTTGCAATATTTAAAGGATTTGGTTTATTAAAGAGGGAGGGAAAATAAATCATTCCATTTTTCTACCCTTTCTTCCTATCAAAAAGTATCCAAAAAAAAAGAAGGATGAATCCCTTCTTTTCTCTTCTCTTCCTTTCCCTCCAATTCTCTCAATCCAAACAATGCATGGCAATCTTTGACAATTAATATTATGTTTGTTTTTATCCCTATATTTTAAAAATATAAGAAAACACTTATGAATAGTGTAAGGACAATTATATCCTTAAAATGTATGTTTACCTATATGTCCCTTTTGAAATGATGCTAATTGTCTCTGAGCTAAGTTTTTCTTTGGGTGATTTAATGATTTAACTCGTATGAATAGTGATTAGAAATCATACCATTTTAAATGTTTATTTACTTATTTGCCCTTAATTAAAGTTAATTGCTTTTTTTTAAACTCTTAACATTAGTGTGCGGACATTTAACCCTTAAAAATATTTGTTTACATATTTTTCCCTCATTATGTTGCCAACAATTGAAAGTAGGGGTGTACGCCGGTCCAAAACCGGACCGTACCTGGACCGGACCTGTTTGAACCTGGGACCTGAATTAGGTAATTCTGAGGACCGGGGACCGGACCTGATTTAACAGGTCCGGTTCCGGGTCAAACCTGAAAAAACAGGTCCAGTTCGGGTTTGGACTTGAATGGACCTGTTTTGTGATTTTTTCGTTTTTTTTTTTAAATAAGTAACCTGTTGGACCTGCATATGGACCTGTTTTGTGATTTTTAGACCTGTTGCATAATTTAATAATTACATACAAACCAAAATTATCAATCACAAAACTACATAAAGTCTATAAAGTCCCAATTTCCAAACACCAAAAATACAAATGAGTCCACCAAAAATACAAATGAGTCCACGAAAACTCATAACATTACATAAGAATCTGTGGTTCCTTCACTCCCTTGTTAGCCCTAGGCAAGTCTGCAAGAATAAGAACAAGAATAAGTAACTAAATAAAAAAACAGAAAACAAGCTAATCGTAAGGAACTCCAAGTTGATCCTAGGGATTGAATTAGATCGAATTTAAACATATTCTTTGAATGTAAAGCATACTTCCAAACCACTGCAGATCTAGAAGGATAAGCTCTTAGGTAGGGTAGGGATGTTATCCTTCAATATACTTTTCTTTTTATGATTATATCCAATTATCCAGCATTATTTTCGAATTCAATGAACTTATAGCATCACATTAAGATTTCTCAACTAATTCAAGCACGATAGTGTGCTGGTTAATTGGATATGTCAGATTGTCAGTGATGTTGGATCAAAATTCTTAAGTCTTATAGCTGAATAAAATGCCATACTAAATTGAATATGCAAGCTAAATCATAGGACAATTAATTAAGTCAAAAATTGGAAGAAGCAAAAGCAAAATGCCATACTAAATTGAATATGCAACTTCTTGCAGTAAACATAGCCGAAATTCTAAAGTCCTGAATTTTTCTTCCAGACAAGATACCACAATTATACTAATCAGAGTAACATATACGATTATACGTAAATCGAACAAATCCAAAATGAACAAAAATTCGACCAAAATGAACAAAAATTCGACCCACATAAATAAAATTAAACATATATAAATTAGAATATAAATTCTGAACATAAATAAAATTCGCCCAAAATGAAAAAAAATTCGACCCACATAAATAAAATTAAACATATATAAATTAAGCATACTTCCAAAAATTAACATATATAAATTCGAATATGTAAACCCAGAATGAACAAATATCCGACCAAAAAAATCGAACAAAAATAAAACCCACATATAAATTCAAACAAAAATCAAACCCACAGAAATAAAATCGAACAAAACAAAAACCACATATATAAATAAATCGAAAAAAATTAAACAAGAACATGAACACCATAATTCGGAATTTCGGACAAGAACAAAAGAATAAAGAATAAATTAAACATGCAAAAACTTACCGGAGATTCGCGGTGGTTGTCTGGCTAAGTGGCTGATGTAGCAAGCCTTGGGCACCTGGGCGGTGGGCGTCGCCTGAGAGAGTGAGGAAGGCAGGGATGTGTCGCCTGACGGCCTGAGAGAGTGAGTGTGAGAGAGGATAAGAGGCAAGCAGCAAGTTAGGGTTAGAAAAGAAAATAAAAAATAAAGCAGAGCAGCGTTTTTGAATTTTTTTTATTTTTTTTAATGCAATTTAACCGGGTTTCAGGTCCGGACCTGAAACCCCCGGTTTTAGAACGGGTCAGGACCGGAACCGGGAACCTTGGTTTTCAAGGACCGGGACCGGAACTGAATCAACGGGTCCGGGTTAGGTCCGGTCCGGGTTAGGTCCGGTTCGGGTCAGGTCAGTTCAGGTCCGGTTTCAGGTCCGGTCCAGTTTTTGTGCACCCCTAATAAAGAGCTCTCTGAAAATAGCTAGCTGTGTGCTTGTGACATGCGCATCGCGCGCATTTAGCAACCTTAATATTAGTAAACATTATATGAAGGTAAAATTATGATAATATGTAGTGTGAATAAGGCTTTGTTATATTCATCTTATTTTAGCTAAATTATTAAAAATAATTGAATAATTAATTAAATTTGATTTTTATTGAATATGTATGTAGTATTATATTTCCACTATTACTTTTTACCTACAACGTTTTTCATTTCTTATTTATCAAAGCATTATTTTAATCACTAATATCTTAGATTATCAATATGTAAACATTAAAAAAACAAAATATATCATAAAAGCTTAAACTGAAGCAAATGTAATAAGATTCGTACGACTATATTTTTTCTTATTTATTGTCAAAGTAGAATATATATATTTGTATAACGCATAGAGTTGCAAGTAAAAAGAATCAGAGGAAATTCTTGTAAAACATTAACTTTATCTCATTTAGGATGAGTCAGTAATTAGAAGTACCCTAATTAATCAGCACCTCTTAAAATTAGACTCATTAGGAATGAGAAGGATAAACATCAGTTAGTTGAATTGGTATGTTGAACAAAATTATGCTAGTTGGAGTTATTATTGATTCTAATTTCAACTTGGATTTTTTTTCATAAACTACCTAATAAAATCCTGAATTTGTGAGAAACTACCTAATAAAAAAAATGTTGTAAGAAACTACCTAATAAAAGGAAAAATGTTGTAAAAGACTACCTCTAGCCGAATTTTCTATGTTGACCAATTATTCCGGCATTGACCGACTACAAAAAAACTCAAGAAACCGCCCTCTTTGGGGTTTTTGGGGTTGGAGGGTGGTTTCGGCTTTGTGGAGGTAGTTTCAAGCGGGTTGTGTTGGTTTTGACTTTTGAGGATGAAAGTGGGTGGTTTTGGAGGTATTTTATGGTGGGTCAATGCCGGAAAAGTCGTCAAAGATTGAAATCCGCCAAATATAGTCTTTTGCAACATTTTACCTTTTATTAGGTAGTTTCTTATACTATTTTTTTTATTAGGTAGTTTCTCAAAAATTTTGGGTTTTATTAGGTAATTTTTCACAAAAAATCCAATAAGAATCCATTCTTTTACACACCAAGAGGGAGACCTATTGGTGCAGTGGCACAAGAGGTTGATCGCCTTGCATCCTCAAGGTGCGATAATTCCTCATTAGCAACAACTTTCACCCGTTCAACGGCGAGGGAGCTGTAGACATAGCATGATCAATAAGCGTTGCGCCCGCTTCTTGATGCATCATAAGCTGCCGTAACTTGGATTTCACCTCTGCAGGCATACGAACAGGACGGTAATTTTTGCCAAGAAGAACAACAACTGATTTTGCTTCTAGGATCGGCTGTTATACAAAATGTTGTGCGACAGCGGAAGCAAAGGTCGAAAACAAACAAGAAAACAATAAAGAAATTCAATGCAAACAATAAGAACAACACCAAGAAGTTACGTGGTTCACTATCGATGTGATAGCTACGTCCACGGGCACCGAGATCGAATGATTTCACTATAAACTGCAAAGATTACAAAGATGATTCTTGTATTTCTCAAGAACGGCTCTCACTCTCTCTCTCTTAACCCTTATACTAATATTAGGGAGGTTTTATATTAATTCCTAAAATAAAAGATACTTGGGCAAAAAGATAACATAAAAGATAACTTTAAATCGTAAAATCCGCGTCTCCGCATTTTTCCTTCTCCGCCCGGTCAGACCGGGCAAGGTCTGCCCGATCGGGCGCGAGAAGAAAACTCCATACGAATGCTTCAACGTATCCAACCCCCACCGCCCGGTCAGACCGGGCAATGTCCGCCCGATCGGGCGGACAAAGCTACGAAGTACGAGTCACCTAATACTTATCAACAATCTCCACCTTGACGAGAACTCGTAGTCAGCAAACGACCCCATCAAGACATAGTGGAAAAACATCTCAAGCCAAACCCGATGCAAGACTCATGCATAAGCCATACATCCCGATAAGTCTTCAACCAAGACCCATCACATACTCGTCTCCAAGTATAACAACTCATAATGCTCCACCTGCATCACAAGCCCCGGGCAAGCTCCACCTTAAGGCCAACACACCTACACCAGGAGCTCCCCAACTTCGCCCCTCAGGGCCTACTACATCACGTAGTAATCAATATTTAGCAAGTCTAAGCAATGTTTAAACTTGCTAAACGGAACAGGCTTAGTGAAGAAATCAGCCGGGTTGTCAGCAGTCCCAATCTTCTTCACCTTAATCCTCTTGTCAGTACGCAAGAAATGATACCTGACATCAATGTGCTTCGTCCGATCATGGTGTACTTGATCTTTAGCTAAGCAAATCGCACTTAGACTATCACAATACACTGTAGCAAAATCCTGTGCAATACCCAGTTCACCTACTAGGCCTTTGAGCCAAATAGACTCCTTAGCTGCAGAAGTTAAAGCCATATACTCAGCTTCAGTAGTTGACAACGTAACTGATGACTGCAATGTAGACTTCCAACTAACCACAGAACCACCCAAAGTGAACACATAACCAGTCACAGACCTCCTGGTATCCACATCAGCTGCATAATCAGAATCACTGTACCCAGTGACCAAGCATTCCCTACCATTCCCGTACACAAGACCAATATCAGTTGTCCCTCTCAGGTAGCGAAAAATCCTTTTCACCCCTTGCCAGTGTTCCCTCCCAGGTCGAGCCATAAACCTGCTTACAACACTAACAGCATGCGCAATATCCGGCCTAGTACAGACCATAGCATACATCAAACAACCAACCGCGTTTGCATATGGAACTCTAGACATATAAGACAACTCCTCCTCTGATTGAGGTGACATAGACAAAGACAACTTACAACTAACAGTAGTTGGCGTACTTATAGGCTTCGATTTTTCCATCCCAAAACGAGACAAAATCTTTTCAATGTAGCTTTTCTGAGTCAAGAAAAGCTTACCTCTAGCCCGATCCCTGTAGATCTCCATACCCAAAATCTTCCTAGCTGCACCCAAGTCTTTCATGTCAAACTCCGAGTTAAGCATCTCCTTTAATCTAGCAATATCAGATTTATTCTTTGTGGCAACCAACATGTCATCAACATATAACAAAAGATAAATCATGGAACCATTATCCAGCTTACTATGATACACACAGCAATCATATGAATTCCTGTCAAAACCTTGTGAAACCATAAAAGAATCAAACCTTTTGTACCACTGTCGGGGGGATTGCTTAAGTCCATACAATGACTTTAGCAATCTGCAGGCATAGTGTTCCTTTCCAGGAACTTCGAATCCTTCGGGCTGCTTCATCAGAATCTCCTCCTCCAAATCGCCATGAAGGAAAGCCGTTTTAACATCCAACTGCTCCAGCTCAAGATCAAAATGTGCTACAATTGACAATAACACACGGATAGAAGTATGTCGAACCACAGGTGAGAATATCTCAACAAAATCAACCCCTTCTACCTGACTGAACCCCTTAGCAACTAGCCTAGCCTTAAAACGTATTTGCTCAGTTTCCGACAACCCTTCTTTCTTCTTGTAAATCCATTTACAACCCACAAGCTTCCTCCCTTCCGGTACCTTTACCAGTTCCCACACTCTGTTCTTGTAAAGAGACTGCATCTCTTCACCCATTGCGGCAAGCCATTGCGCAGACTCACTACAACTAATTGCTTGTTTATATGTGGCAGGTTCAAATGACTCTACATCATCAGCTACACTCAATGCATAACCTGTCATCGCATCAACACAGCAATTTCTTCCCTCCATCTCTTCAATCAATCTAACAGGCTTCTTGATAACTCGTTTAGGCATCTCAAGAATGGTGTCAGGTTGACTAGATGACCCCTGATTAGATTGCTCCACCTCATCCCCAGAGTTAGAATGAGTAGGAGTAATCTCAGGTTCAGGAGTACCCGGCACTGGAACATCAGCATCATCATCAATATATTGTACCCGAGGTAAATCAGCAATGGTAGACTGATGTACCTCAAGTACCCCATCTGTCTGTAATAAATTGTCTCCTTCCCTTCTCAAATCTGAAATCTCTGCATTTTTAATTGAATACATGGTGTTTTCATCGAAAGTAACATCCCTACTAAGAATGACCCGACCCTCCGAAGGTGAAAAAATTCTAAACCCCTTCACACCATCCCCGTACCCAACAAAACACCCCTTCTTGGCTCGTGGATCCAGCTTACCCTCAATAACATGATAATAAGCAACACAACCAAAAATCTTCAAATTCGAAAAATTAGGCAACTTACCACTCCAGATCTCAAACGGAATTTTGGAATCAATTCCAGAATGAGGACCCCTATTAATGACATAACAAGCTGTTAACACAGCTTCACTCCAGTACCTCCTCCCAAGCCCTGCATTAGAGAGCATGCATCGAACTCTCTCTAGCAGTGTCTGATTAACCCGTTCTGCTACACCGTTCTGCTGTGGTGTCTTCCTGACAGTATGATGCCGACCTATACCCTCATCTGCACAGAACTGATTAAACTCGTCTTTGCAAAACTCTAGCCCATTGTCCGTTCGTAGCTTCTTGATCTTCCTTCCTTGTCGATTTTCCACCAAAGCTTTCCATTGCTTGAAAACTTTGAAGGCCTCATCCTTTGACTTAAGCAACCTAAGCCATGTGTATCGGGACTTGTCATCAACAAATGACACAAAATAGTGGTAACCTCCCATACCTTCAACTCTAGATGGACCCCAGCAATCTGAATGGATGTAATCGAGCACTGCATCAGTAATGTGAGCACCCTTGCTGAACTTTGACCTGTGTTTCTTACCAAACACACAATGCTCACAAAATTCAAGGTTGGCAACCTTGACCCCGGATAGAAGACCCCTCTTGGACAATAGCTGCATCCCCTTCTCCCCCATATGACCAAGCCTCATGTGCCAAATCTTAGTCATCTCCTGGTGAGATACAGATGCGCAAACCGCAGAACTAGGCAGTGTAACACCCTCAAAAACATAGAGGGTGTTCCTTTTGATACCCTTAAGTACCAACTCAGAACCTCTGAAAATACACAACTCCCCATCTGAAAACACACCATTGTACCCCAAGTCATCCAGGGTACCCAATGAAATCAGATTCTTTCCTAAAGCAGGAACATGCCGTACATTAGTCAAAGTTAACCTCCGCCCATCAACAGTCCTCAACCTCATGGAACCAATACCTGTGACCTTACATGGAGCATTGTTACCGACTATAACCATACCCCCATTGCGAGGTTCATATGTATCAAACCAATCTCGACGTGGACACATATGGAACGAACACCCCGAATCTAGAACCCAGTTATCAGATAAATCATCAGACCTAGCAGAACTGACTAATGCTAAATCTTCCTCTGAATTATAGCTCTCATTCGGTTTCTCTTCAACTACAGCAGCCTGGGACTTGTTTTTCCTCACCGGACAATTATTCCTAAAGTGACCCGGTTCTTTACAGTAATAACATGTTTTAGTAGTAGTTTTACTAGATCCATCCTTGCCGTTTCCAGCACCCGACCCAGCATTGTTCCCCTTGTTAAACCCCTTATTCTTTTTAGACTTTCCGGACTTAACAAATAACCCACTACCATTATCCCCATTATCACTCGTAGCTTTCATTCTGAGTTCCCTAGTATGAAGTGCTGCCTTCACTTCTTCTAAGGTTATAGAATCCTTACCAACAACAAAAGACTCTACAAAATTCTCAAAGCTAGATGGTAGAGATACAAGTAAAATCAACGCAGCATCCTCATCATCAATTTTAACATCTAAATTACGTAAATCAAGCAAAATAGAGTTAAGTTTTTCTAGATGTTCCCGTAAGGAAGTACCTGACTGCATCCGGAGGCTAAACAACCGCTGTTTCAGTAATAATTTGTTGGTCAACGACTTAGTCATATACAATGACTCCAGCTTCAGCCACAATCCAGCCGCCGTTTCCTGATCAGCAACCTCCGTGATGATTTGATCATCAAGACTAAGTAATATGGTAGAGTGTGCCTTCTCTTCCATAACTTCTAACTGCGAGTCAGTCGGTCCGTCTCCTGACTCCGAAGTAGTACTCTTTGGAGCCAACGGACGCCATATCTGCTGTTGTTTTAACAGAGCCTTCATCTTAATTTGCCATAGCCCGAAACTATTTTTCCCGGTAAACTTCTCAATTCTTATTGTTGAATCTCCTGCCATTGTTATCTTCAAGAAACTCTCCAAGGATTGAACCTGAGCTCTTGATACCAATTGTTGTGCGACAGCGGAAGCAAAGGTCGAAAACAAACAAGAAAACAATAAAGAAATTCAATGCAAACAATAAGAACAACACCAAGAAGTTACGTGGTTCACTATCGATGTGATAGCTACGTCCACGGGCACCGAGATCGAATGATTTCACTATAAACTGCAAAGATTACAAAGATGATTCTTGTATTTCTCAAGAACGGCTCTCACTCTCTCTCTCTTAACCCTTATACTAATATTAGGGAGGTTTTATATTAATTCCTAAAATAAAAGATACTTGGGCAAAAAGATAACATAAAAGATAACTTTAAATCGTAAAATCCGCGTCTCCGCATTTTTCCTTCTCCGCCCGGTCAGACCGGGCAAGGTCTGCCCGATCGGGCGCGAGAAGAAAACTCCATACGAATGCTTCAACGTATCCAACCCCCACCGCCCGGTCAGACCGGGCAATGTCCGCCCGATCGGGCGGACAAAGCTACGAAGTACGAGTCACCTAATACTTATCAACACAAAAGGTTGTGGAAGTTGTTAATTAATTAGCAAGCTAAAACAACTATAACAGCTAGTAAAAGAGTAAGAGAAAATCAAACCTCGTTATTTGGAAACTTGTAGATATAATGCTCAAAGAATATACGAGCAGCTGAGGATTCTGAGACCTTCACCTTTAGAACAAACTTGTCTCCACTCTGCATTACACGAAATAAGCACGCAAGTGCGTCAGTAAGGTATTATTATAAAATTTCGTCGGGTGGCCAAGGGCAAGTCATAACTAAATATCATTTACATACACGAGTTAAGGGGCGAAGCCACCATAACAATATAATAGTGGAGTCAACTGACCTCATTTGAATTTTAAAACCTTGGAAAATTTCTCTACAAGATTTAGGTATTATCTTACATAATTTGTTATAAAAATTTCAGCTATTATAACCAATACTTTTTATTTTGTACCTAGTAAATACTATATTAAAACCGTCAAAACGGTCTAAACAATAATGTACAAATGGAGTATTTAGGTTGAAGCATATCCTAAGTTTGGGTTGTCTATCAATGACAACCATTCCCAACATTGACATGATATTCATTCCCTCCGTTATTTCAAGTACAACTCTTTCCTCTCATATGCATATCATTTCAAAAAATTCAACCCAAACTTCTAAAAAATTATGCCGGTAAAACAGGTACACTTAAAAACCAACCAAGGAACTACTTTACTTTCTACTATCAATAATGCAAAATAAACAGCCAAAAATGATTCAATGAATAAGGTCCAAATGTGCATACGTACCTTAAGTGGTGCGAGGAAAGTGAGGGAAAGTTTTGACAACGCTAAAGCACCACCGTTGCTCTCCACTGTTTTAGCATCCAGACAAATGCTTTCTAATATCTCATGATGTGCTGTGTATAATTTAATAAACATCAATGGATGTGTCAAATTTCCATAAATAGTCACATTTTAATAATAAATCACTCACTTTCCTTTTCTTTTTAATAGGATAAATCATTGTAAAGTTGTACACTTTAAAAAAAATAAAAAGAAAAAAATCCTTTTTTTTTTTAATCCCAAAAAGGCTAAAAGCAGAACATGCATTGTCTCCAATACACCTTAATATATACTTCGTATATTTTTACGTTAAAAAATAATATTAAATTTAACTACACCGTACCATATAACTAACATAAATGCATGTTTTTGTAACGTAGTAGTATGTACGTACCAAGTTGACAATAACTCGAATAGACCGCATTGTTAACAACACCATATTGATCCAATTCATAGTCCCGTACTTTGAGTTCGATCTCTAGAAACCCACTCATCCTGGCAATAAGAATCCACATGAAATATTCAATTAGTAGAATATTATTAAGAGTGTCCAAAAACATAAAATAACTAATATTACTCCGTATAGACTATGACTTTCACCAATTTATCTCTTGTTGTATACGAAGTATTTTACAATTATATACAAGCTAAGATTAAGGAAAAACTTAAATTATGAATGTAGTGAACAAATATAAGTAAATAACTAGAAGAAAAGGAATTACTGATTCGGTAAACATTGTTGAGGGCTAAGTGAGGAACGATGAGGTGGGCAGCATCGGAGGCTAAAATCGGACGATTGGGATAGGGAGAGAGGTTGATTACTAGAAAAAATTGGTTGACGACAACAAAAATTGAAGGAATTAGGTTTTGCATGTGACATTGCATACGTTGGTGTGACTGTGATGAAGCTAGAAAGGGCTTGTAGTGTAGTCATTTTTGGTATAAGTATCGTTGTGCGTAGTTAGATAAGATATGAAGAGTTAAAGAAAAGAGGATGATGGAGAAATGTTTGCAATAGCTTGTGACATTATATAGTAACGAGCCATAATTAGAACATTTTAATCATGTGATTAGTAATAATAAATAGTCTATTAGTAAAGTAAGCAAATTAAAGAGATATTAGAGGGAGAAAGTGAGAGGAAGATGAAGAAAATCAAAAGGACGAGAGATCATTGGAGGAAATAAATAAAATTATCCGAAGTGATGATGTTTTATTTACGTTTGGTTACGACTAAAAGTATGGTTTTAAAAATAAGTCAATGAAAAAATCTTTAATTTATTGCCCGAATACATTGTCAACGTATATCGTTTCTTTTTGAGAAAACATTTATTATTCCCGTTTCAAAATAATTGTCTCACTTGAAATTACACAGAGTTTAAGAATAATTTATTTAATTGTAGGATTACTCGTATTATTTTTCTTTCTGTTGTTTTTTTAATGTCCCACTTTGATGATTTTTACATTATTCACTTACATTACTTTGACTAATGTTTGTGCTTTGTACATAAGACTATATATGGTTATATTAGTATATAATTTGTTAGAATCGTATCAATATATTATTTTCACGTATTAACTTTTTAAAATCTACTGTTAAATTTTTATTTGTCGATGTGCTGCATTATCAAATGTCATGTGTTGGTCAAATTCGGGCACTTTAAAAACATAAAGGGACCATTATATCCTTAAGAATGAGTGATTTAATGATCCATACATTTTAAAAAGTATGAGATAACACTTATAAATAGTGTAAGGACAATTATATCCTTAAAAATGTTTATTTATCTATATGCCCCTATTAATGTGATGTTAATTGGCTTTAAGATTTCCTTATGTGATTTAATGATTTATCTATTATGAATAGTGTTTGGACAATTATACCCTCTAAAATATTTATTTACTTATTCTCCCTCATTAAAGTTATTTCTTTTTTTTTTAAAAAAAAAACTCTTAAAATAGTGTGCGGACATTTATACCCTTATTAATATCTTCCCCAAATATCTCTAAAATTTTGTTGTTTAGATTAAGTATTCCACGTGTCCTAATATGATTTGTTCATTTTAAAATTTAAATAATAATTTTTTTATTAAAATAATTTTTTTTAATTAATTAGTATTTTTTTTAAAAACTCCCTAACCCCCCAACGAAGAACAACCCTCCTACCGGATCACACCAGCCGAAACATCCACCGATGTCAATCCCTTTCTATCTTTCCCTTCCCAACTATAATGGTTGCTTATAGTACATTGGGCTTACTTGGACCTTATGAGGCCTTTGGTGCCCTTTAGGCTTATGTAGATAGGATTGACTTAGGCTAAAATGCATGGGGCCATTTTGGTACTCAAACAAAAAATATATTAAGTAAAATAAAAAAAAAATCCAATCTTATTAGTAATTTATAGTTCATGCATGTAACTTATCATTAGATGTAGTAATATTAAAGGAAGGCATAGCTATCAATAACATAATACTAAAAACGAATCTGATATGACACTTGTCATGTTCTGATTAAAAAATTTCCCGCCACTTTCACTTTTTTTTTTTTTTGGTAAAATCTTCATGCAAATTAATTTATATATCCTATCATATCTAACTTTCAATTTGGCAACTATATTTTAAGTATAATCTATATGCGTTCAATGAAAATATTTTAACATATCTTTCTTATATTTTATAATAGGTATTTTTCTATAATTAACAAACATATACTACGTATATAAGGTAATATTATTAGAATAATGTACTATGCCCGTACTCCGTATCATTCTACATCGTATTTTTTCCTTTGAAAGTTTATTTGCTCTAACCAGTATTAACACTTTAACTTTTATTATATATTTGTTAGTTTATTTATAATAATAACACTACAATTCAATAACTATACATATAAAATAAAAATAAAAAAACCTTGATTATTAATTGTCACAAAAAATAAGCCACTTAAATTTTTATAAAACACTACGCTTTTTGGTAGTTTTAGTATACTTTTTAGAATAAATATAACGATAATAATTATAATAATAATTAAAATAATAATTAAAATTATTATTAGAATATGTGGAGCTCAGTATGTCTGGAAGCACAGGAGAACGTTCTTTTGCTGATATTATTACAAGTATTCGATACTGGGTTATTCATAGTATTACTATACCCTCCCTATTCATTGCGGGTTGGTTATTGGTCAGCACGGGTTTAGCTTACGATGTGTTTGGAAGCCCTCGACCAAACGAATATTTCACAGAGAGTCGACAAGGAATTCCATTAATAACCGGACGTTTTGACTCTTTGGTGCAACTTGATGAATTTAGTAGATTCTTTTAGGAGGCCCAATGACCATAGATCGAACCTATCCAATTTTACAGTGCGATGGCTGGCTGTTCACAGACTGGCTGTACCTAGCGTTTCTTTTTTGGGGTCAATATCCGCAATGTAGTTCATCCAACGATAAACAAAACCGAATCCGTATTATAGAGCTACGACAAAATCAAACCCGAACGAACAAAATGTTGAATTGAATCGTACCAGTCTTTATTGGGGTCTATTACTCATTTTTGTACTTGCTGTTTTATTTTCTAATTATTTTTTCAATTAAATAAAGAGAAGGAAAGAAATAGATAGAATATAGAATTCGATTATAGAGTAGGAATTCTCTTATCCCATTCGGAAGGACCTCATTTCATAATTATCCATGACTGTTTATGTCTCTAGCAGGACCTCTTGATGAAATGTGGAGGGAAGTGGGGTAAATGGCCGATACTACTGGACGAATTCCTCTTTGGATAATAGGTACTATAGCTGGTATTCTTGTGATCGGTTTAATAGGTATTTTCTTTTATGGTTCATATTCTGGATTAGGCTCATCGCTGTAGTAAGTAGTAATTTGATTAATCGAGGTATAGACATGAAAGTATAAGAACTCAACGGGACCTTCCTTCCCCCTCGAATTAGACAAACAAAGAAGGGGGAGGTCCCATTTAATTCTTTTTTTAATTATCATAATTTTTTATTCGAATTTTTTCATATAAATGAAAAACGGACCCCTTTTTCAATGTTTTTGAAAAGTGTATTTGGTTATTCAGAACATATATTCCTCGATCATACTTATTGGTCCTTCCTAAATTGTTAAGTTAAAAGAAAGAGAAAAAGGCAATCAATTGATTTATTGAACGACCAAATAGAAGCTCTATTTTTTCTAGATTAAATAGAATGCAAGAAGTTCCATTTGTTCAAGAAATTGACCTCTCTCTTTTATTCAGTTTGTCCGCTCCTTATACATGTAATACTAAGAAAAAAAGAATCAATCTAAAACGAAAAAAGGGTGAAATTTCGAAAAAAGAAAAATTCCGACTAAGTCTTTGACGAAGGGAATCAAGACTCGTTACTATATCGACACACGACAAGTATGTGTAAAAATCCTTGTCATGTGTCGAAGACCAGGAAGGCGGATAAATCCCCCTAGAATCATTTGGTCCCCTCATTATTCTTTTCGTTATATTCTCCTTTTAGTCTTATATCGAGTCAAATTTCGATTGGAAAAAAGTAAAAAAGTTTTCTTCACAATCCAATATATTATTATAACTAAAAATCTTGCTCATAGATGTAGAAGAAAAGTATAAACAAACAAAAAAGAACCTTCTCGTAATTTTTTTATTTATTGATCATCCAAAACTGTCAAAGAATTGTCAACAATAATTTTGTTATTGTTACAAGCTTGAACTTGATAAATTTACAAATCTAGAAATTCATTTCGGATAATTGAACCTTCCCGAACTATTTCTTTTGAAAAACCAAAAAGATTTGTGGTAGAATAATGGATGCAAAGAAGAACAAAAGCCCTTGTACGCGCAGTGGATCTTGAAGGACTATTTCTGCATCTCCTTGACCAAATCCACCCACATTAGGATTACTCGTTAATGGTTGATCAATTTTGATAGATTCACCCTCTGAAACAAGAAGCTCCGGTCTTGGCGAGATAATATCAACCACTTCACGTCCGTCCGAGGCATCCGCTATGTTTATTTCGTATCCGCCCTTTCCTTTTCGTACAATTTTCTTTACTATACCTGCTGTTGTGGCATTATAAACTGTATTATTACTCTTACTTCCGTCAGGATAAATCTGACCCCTTCCGCTGTTACCACCTACATATATCGGATATTTTAAGAAGTGAACGTCTTTCTTAGTGGCAGGGTCTGGAGAAAGAATATGAAAGGTAATTTCACTATATTTTTTCCCAGGAACAGTACCTATCACAAGAATATTTTTTTTATTGGGGCGATAGCTCTGAAAAGAAAGATTCCCTATATTTTCTTACATCTCTGGAGAAATACGTACGGCCGGGGGGGGGGCTAATTCAAACCCTTCAGGTAAAATAAGAACAACCCCCACATTCAAACCCCCCTTTTTGCCATTAGCAAGAACTTGTTTTAATTGCATATCATAAGGAATTCGAACAACTGCTTCAAATACAGTATCCGGAAGGACCGCTTGTGGAACTTCAATATCCACGGGCTTATTGGCTAAATGGAAATTAGCACATACAATACGTCCAGTCGCTTCTCGTGGATTTTCATAACCTTGCTGTGCGAAAATGGGATATGCATTCGAAATGGATGACCGAGTTATTACATATATCACGAGCGAGATGGAAAGGGATCGAGTAATCTGTTCTTTTATCCAAGAAAAGGTATTTATAGTTTGCATGGTCCAACCATTGATTCTGAAAATTTCTACAATAAATTTGGTAGGTTGCTAATAGAGATCCCTATCCATGAGTCTGCTATTTACTTTAACTGAAAACTTAATTTACTAAAATAATATTACTGGAATATAGGAGGAACTCCCCGCCTTAGACGGGTAGAAATAGAAAGAGGGGGTACAATTGGTAATGCTTTGAGTATTGATTATGTACAAAGCAACATTCGAATTAAAAACTCCAATTGGATTTCTCTCCATATACCCCTTTTCTTTTTTTCAGTAGTTCATTGAATGATAAATAACTACAAGTGATGGGGATACGCGATTTAAAGAACGGAAAATCCAATATTTTAAAAATGTATCTAGAATGACTGGAAAAGTGGAAACAAGACTCGATATAATTTGATCGTTATGGGCAAATCCAAAATCTTTGTAGATCAGATAGAGCTAATCAGTAGTTCCCAACCTTGGGGCAATGAAATCCGATACATAAATCGGTTACTAAAAGAATGGAAAAAGCTTTTATTGTGTCGCTTAAGTTATATAGGAATTCCTAAACCCAAGAATTAAGAAGAATAAGTTCTTTATTTGCCAGAATGGAATAACCACCTAGAATAAGGAAACAGATTAAATTTGTGGAGAAGTGCAAAATCATATGGATACAATCTTCATTGTACGTCTTGATCAATTGAATCGTTTCATTGTGGTTCCTATACGAAGCTTTTGTAGATGTGTTTCCGGACATTCCTTTATCATTTCGTCCAACAAGCGGAGCTCCTCGAATTCGATCCATTTTTCGCGAAGATTTTTTTCTTGAATATCATTCAAAAAAGTTTCAGATTGCTTAGTATTCCACCAAGTAGTAACCCAAGATTCCAGACTTTTTTGAAATGATAGTAGATCCACCAGGGTAAAAATACTATAGATACAAGATATAGAAAAGGAATAAATGCTTTCTTTTTTTCCATTTTTTTTCATCTATAAATTGTTAATGAACCCAACCGGGTATTCATCGAAAGGAAGGAATTGCTTTCGACGAATACCCGGCAGAGCCATTTCGTTTTTTTCAATCAATGAATATTTTTTATTTTGATTTCAAGATTAAAGAACTCACTTTCTACCAAAATAGAAAATATTTCCAAAAATTGAAAAAATTAACCATAGCACAAAAAAAGAATTTAAGACATGAATGTGATATTAAAAATGGATGGAAAAACACGACATAATTTGGATAATTTAATTCTCGTTATAATTAGAAATTATAAGAAATCAAATTATTTCATCATTAAAGCGAACAAAAGATTACTAAAAAAAGCGAGAAAATTTACATGATTAATTTGTTTTGTATGTAATATATCAATTAAAAATACTGGAAATTCTATGGAATTGAATTGGTTTGTATTTGTAGACATAAACAGTTTCCCCCCTTTGGTTGTTCTGTATACGTCTGCTTTGACCCTAGTGGGCGTTCTGATGAGATTTCTGTTAAGGTATGCCGTAGAAAAACGTATTCTAGATTTTGTATTTTACGCCAAGTTAAGAAAACGTTCGGTATTTCCGCTCATTTTTCAAAATCCTTCAATTGGTACACGTAAGAAATAGGCCAATTCAGCCGCCTTTTGTTCCATTTCTCGTGGAGTCAAATTCTCATCAGTACGAGTTAAAGGAATGGCTCCTTGTCCTCTGATTTCCAAATAAAGAACACGGCGAGTATAAATACCTTCTTTAAGTTCTATTCTAATAGACTGAATATCTTTTATAAGATATCGGAAAAAGATGCAACGATTTTTTCCAGGGAATCCCCAGCGAAAAATACAGACTATTCCCTTTTTTCTAGCGAAAAATACAGACTATTCCCTTTTTTCTATCGAATCGATCATAACCATTACCCACATTATACGAAATTGCACACCACAAATATGAGCTAATAAAGAGGCCTGCAATCCCATAGAAAGACATCACGATCCCTTGTGGAAAAAAAGAATTTGCTGGGGAGGAAATAAAGATATCAAATTCTTACCAAGATAGCTGGAAATTCCAACCAACAAGAATCCTAATGAACCGAAAAAAGGATAAAGGCCCAGCAGAATTTACTTATTTTTCGAGATCCCGTTATAAGTTCTACCCATTTACGTTCTGATCGCCAATTCATACTAGATCCGGTTACATTTAATTTGAATTGAAAGAATACTCCAAATGAATTGTACTTTCCTTACTCTGTCTTGTTTCCGATGTAACTCTCATCAACTAGTCCTATTTTGATGTCAGAGGTGTTTCACTTTTATTTATTTCTATTTTTTATTTTAGTTCGATCAAAATAATAACATCTACCCCTATATTTATTGTATTGTCATTTTTCCATTTACATCACATACATAAGAGCTCGTTCATTTATGTTCGGAAGAAATCACATGTTATACCATTCCGCTAAACATATATCTATATTATAATTCAAGTCTAAGTTTTTAAAAATGAGATTTTGACGAGACGATCTAAACAATCTTATTTTTTTGAACATGAAGAAATAAAGAAGCCATTGCAATCGCTGGAAATACTAGGCCTACTAAAGGCACAAAAATTGAGGGAAAGATCATAGTTGTCATAGACCGGGTACCTCGATTTACGATATTGTAATTGTACCTGTTTGTTATATTTTTGTTGTTATTATCTTATTATATTAAAATTAATTAATTAGAATTCTATAGAATGAATATAGTATATAATAAGTACAAGAAATGTAGAACTAAAAAAGCAATTCGATTTCTACATATAATATATGATAATCACGTTTACTTTCTCTTTTTTTTCTTTCTTTTGCTTTTACTAATTCAAAAAAATCGAAAAATAGAGGATTTATTATAAATTCAATTTGCAAAGCAGTCGTTAGAGTCCGATCCAAGAGGTATTTTAAATAAAGACTCCCCGACGAAAGATACAAACAAAAAGTTTTTTTTATTGGAATCTAAAGGAAATAAGCATGGAGGTTTTTGGTTCGCGACATCCTAATTTTGGAATAAAAAAAACTAAAAAACTTTTTGACACAAATATAAAAATTGCCCTTAATCCTCGCCTTTATTTTGATTCAAAGGAAAAAAAGCATGCAGCTGAAATAACTCACTTAGAACGCCTTTTAAAAGATTACGTGGTACGATTGGATCGAATAAACCCTTATGGAATAAAAACTTGGCTGCTTGTGACCCTTCAGGTACTGTCTTATTCAATGTTTGCTCAATTACTCTTTTACCCGCAAATGCAATGTAGGCGTTCGGTTCAGCAATAATGATATCCCCCAACATACCAAAGCTGGCGGTCACCCCACCAGTAGTAGGAGATGTAAGGATTGATACATAAAATAACTTTTTATTTGATTGATAATCATATAAAACAGACGAGATTTTCGCCAATTACATTAAGCTCAAGCTTCCTTCTTGCATGCGTGCCCCCCCCGGAAGCACATACTATAATAAGGGGGATTAATTTATTGGCAGCATACTCAATCAATCGGGTGATCTTTTCCCCTACTACAGATCCCATACTGCCTCCCATAAACTGAAAATCCATAACACCAATTGCTATAGGAATTCCGTTTAGTTGACCTATACCTGTTTGAACAGCTTCAGTTAAACATGTATTTATGTGATAAGAATCAATACGATCTTTATAAGCTTCCTCCTCCGAATGAAATTCGATAGGATCCATAGAGACCATACCTTCATCCATAGGATTCCAAGTACCAGGATCAATCTGAAGTGCGATTCTATCTGAACTACTCATTTTCAAATGATATCCACATTGTTCACAAATACCCATTTTTGACTTAAGTAATTTCTTGTAATTTAATGCATAACAATTTTCGCATTGAACCCGCAAATGTTTATATTTTTGAGTTCCATCAAGATTTATAGAATTTCGATTTTAGTGAAATTACTGTCGTTCGTGATAATTCTTTTACTAAAACTTTCGCTGGTATTTCCACTTTCATTAAAAACGTAACTCAAAATGTAACTATCACTGTAATTGTCACTATCACTTAGGATGGAACTGCCACTACGGATTTGAGAATGAAGATAATTGTCAATGCAATTATTAATGTGCTTATTCCAACTATCTTCATTATAATCCATGGAATGATCATTATAAGTATCGCCACTCTTAGATCTAGAGTTCAGATAACTTGAATTCCAATAATTCGAAAAGGAACTTTGCAGTTCATTCAGAAAAGACGGGTCGTTGTCAATCTCAAAAATTTGATTTTCAATATCGAAGTATACGGAATAACTGTCCCCTTTACTATCTATAAGTAAAAAAAAGAGTATCAGAGATGAAATTCCGAATGTCCATAACACGAACTAAATGATCAACATTACTATGACTAGAACTGTCACTATTTCTCCAACTATGAATGTTTTTTTCAATGTCATTTAGACTCGGATCTTCCGTTGTACTGGTATTTTCTGTAGGACCAAGACTTCGAATCATCACTAGCTAGAAATAAAGTTGCATCGGCCACATCCTCTAATGTACACTTAGCCCCTTTGAGATTTGAGTATACTTTAGCTATTCCTTCATCATCTAGCTTGAAGAAGCTCCTAGTCATTGGAGTCGAGACCAAGTACGGTGACAAACAATTCACCCTAATCCCATGATTTCCAAGCTCCACAGCTGTGTTCTTTGTAAGACCTAGCACACCATGTTTTGAGCCAACATAGGCATGAGATGCCGCACCTCCTATGGTAGAGGAAATACTCGCATGATTGATAATGGTACCCCGTTTGGCCGGGATCATTACTCGAGCGGCATGCTTAGTACACAAAAAGGGGCCGATAAGGTTCACCCCAAGATTTCTTTGAACTCGGATTCAGTGATGTCAAGGATGTTTGGCTTGGACATGCCTGCATTGCCTGCATTATTAAACATGATGTCGAGCTTCCCGTATTGGGACATCGTCGAGTCTACTACATTTTGTACGTGGCTTTCATTCGTGACATCGCAATGAACGTATGAGGCTAATGATGTGCCTATTTCTTTGCAGACAGATTGGCCGAAGTCATCTTGGATATCAGCAATTACAACTTTGGCACCATGTTTAGAGAAAACTTTAGCAGCGTATTCACCAATTCCAGCAGCGCCTCCTGTGATAAGGGCCACTTTGCCTTCCAACCTGTAAATTATAAACGTAAATGTAAACCACTTAGGCTCTGTTTGTTTCAAGGGAAAACCCTTTCCCTGAAAATAGTTTTCCTATTTTCTATTGTTTGTTTTGGATCGGCCCATAAAATGGAAAATAGGTCCAGAAAATACTTTGCCATTGAGGCCCAAATATTTTCCCAAAACAATCAAGGGATTCCTCTTTTCCATCGTTGCTCGCTGCTCTCATTCGAGCTTGCTCCTCCTCAAGCTCACTGCTCATCCTCAAGATCTGCTCTCACAAGGTAATTTCCAATTATTCTGTTTCCTTTCTTTGATTGTTTGCTTCTTTATTGGATTCGACTGGTTTATTGGATTCAACTGGTTTATTTAATTCAAATGCCTAAGGTTAGGTTTGTGATTAATTAGGGTTTGTTAATATTCTTCTCTATTAAAGAACAAGTGAAGTAATAATGAAGAATTCTGGAATTTGGTTGATTTTTTGCTATTAATTTGGGAATTAGGGTTTGCTCATAAAATTAACTTTTACATAGGCTTTTATCTGGAGTAGTGATTCGAACAAGCCCGAATCATATACTTTTAATTAATAAAAGTTTCAAGATTGTTATTTATTCATGTAACAAATTAATTAGGTTCAATTTATAAAAAAATAGGTTCACAAACAATATTAAGTAACAAAAGGAAAATTGTTTTAAAAGGAAAATAAATTTCCAAACAAACAAAGGAAAATGGGATTCTTGGAAAATGAATTTCCTTACAAACAAACAAAGGAAAACTAAACCAAATTTGAGTTTTCCTCCAGAAAATGGATTTCATGGAAATTCATTTTCCATTAGATTTGTTTTCCATCAAAACAAACGGAGCCTTAGTATCCACAAATGAAATTCATCAAGGAACTCCATTTCTACCTTCTTCATATTATATTTCTACTATACATGAAGTATTTTTAACTTAAATAACATAAAATATTATATTATACTCTATATTACTCACTTACTTTATTTTAGGATTATTAACACAATTTGACTTTTTTTTTTTACTATTCATCTATTAGATTTTACCACATATATACTTGATATATTTTTGTTTTTGTTCATGTATTAATATTGTCATGTAAATTATTGTTACTTTTTTTTTTTTTTTTAAATATTACACTTTGACCGTTACATTATTTTATTAGTTAGATTAATAGACTTTCATTTAACTTAAAAAAAAAAAGTAGGGTAGTTAGGGTACTAAAAGTTGATTAAAAAAGATAGTGAGATTAATATTTTATTAAAAAGTAAAGAAATTGAGATGGAAATAAAATTAAAAGAAGAAAGAATTCAGAAATATTGCTTACCTTCTTACTGCGCCAGAAAAATTTGAGAAATTTGCCATATGCCTATGTATACAGACAAAGGAAGAATTAGAGACTGTTGGCGTACTAAGCTCATCTTATTAATAAATCATACAATAAGAGAATAAATTATGTATATTCATAACATAAAACACACTGTATAATGAATATATAAGATGGAATGTTAAAGTGAGGGAAAAATTTATTGCTTGGTAAGTAAGCTTGTTACGACAATATTGAGTATTGTAGCCAAAAGAAGATAAAATGTTACCATACAAATCTCCAAATGTTGAAAAACTTAAAATGAAGGATCATAAAATTTATGACTTTTTTTTATGATAAGAAAGTTATGATGATTTTCTATAAAAATTGAAATATGCTAAGAAAATAAGTATTTATATTTTATAATGTATTGTTAATTTGTTATTATCTATGTGTTTCTAAATATCGTTAAAAATAAGTGTTTCTAAATGTGTAGGTTCTCATAATTAAAATGCTAAAAAATATTTATAAAATAACCCTTTATTAAGAGAAATCAACTTACCAATGAAAATGGATAATATATTTATTAAAGCTCATAACTAAAATGCTAAAAGTATTTATAAAATAATCCAAATTTACCAATGAAAATGGATAACTAGACTAGTTGATGAATATTTGATTTTATAGAATGAGAATTGAGAGAGAAATAAATTCGGAAATTTGTGACGCTTCATACTCCGTTGGTGAGGTTTATATAGGCCAGGTTTTAAAGATACCTGTCATTATTTTATTAGATTAATCACGCGTTAATAATGGTTTTAATTATCTAATTACACCATGCAATATTAGCTTTCTGTCTACCTAACTTTTCTCCATCAAACTTTGGTCATCCTCAAAAGTCTCGTGTTATTTCTCATAAATATGAGAGGACGTGATAGGGTATATAAATCGATCACGAGATTTATCCATCGGTTTATGTTTTTTATTGAGTTAATAATTTAACAATTTGTAAGAAGGAAACATATTCAAGAGGTAAATTAAAGATATATGTAACAAGATATTTTATAATTTTATTTTGTGTGGAAAAAAAATAAAGCATGAAATTTATAATGAGAACATGTTAAGAATAGCAATAATATTTTAGGTAGTCCCCACAGCAACCCACTTTACTTTTACATTTTATTACTTCCAGTCTCATTCCAACTCCCTGACACCCAGCATGGAGAATGGAATATTTTCGAACTACAAGAGAACAGCCGGAAGTTGGTTAGTGAAAATTTTCTTTTATTAGTCAAGGTCCACTATTCCTTATAAAAATAATGTTCATTTAACTTATTGAACAAGTTGCTCCTTTAAATATTACGAGTAAATTTTTTTCTCTTTTCATTTAATCATGTACTTCCTCTCTTTCAATATAAGTGCATTTGATTGTGTATGTATAACATGTACGGTTTGTTGAATAGGAAAGTGGAAGAGAAAAGGAAGCTAGAGGGAAGGAGAAGGAAGGGAGGGGAGAAGGTAACCTTAAAATATTTTCAATATTTAAGGTATTTGGTTTATTAAAGAGGGAGGGAAAATAAATCATTCCATTTTCCTACCCTTTTCTCCTATTAAAAGGTATCCATAAAAAAGGAAGGATGAACCGGTGCGAAAAATGGCCTAAAAAAATTAAAAAAAAATAAAATAAAATTTTGCACCGGTTCTTGCTGTGAACCGGTGCAAAAATGGCCCCAAAAAATTAAAAAAAAAACTTTTAGCACTGGTTCTTGCTGTGAATCGGTGCGAAAAATGGCCACAAAAAATTTAAAAAAAACGTTTAGCACCGGTTCTGTTTCAAAACCGGTGCCAAAAGTGCCCCAAAAAATTAATTTTTTTTTTTTTGCATTTTTGCATTTTTTTCATTTAAATTGGTATAGAAACACTAACATATATATAAAGTTACATATTTTCATTAAAAAAGGCTATAATATTACAATTTTCGTCCAAAAAAATAAAATAAAAAACCAAATTTCGTTTAACAACCTCTTCTTCATTGTTGACATGTAATGCTTCATACGATATTCTTTTACCAGTTTGGATTTCCCCAGGCTGATTTTATGGCGGTGCTCACTAGATTTTGAATCAGCTTCCCCCAATAAAACTGCGGGAACAAATGCTCTGGAAACAAATGAAAAAAAAATCATTCAATGATTGTATGTCTTCTAATACAAAAGCACTAGCTAAATAGAGCATCAACCATCTAATTCTAATATTGCACCCCTGTTGTTTTAGGGTGTTCCCTGTGGAAAGAGAATGCTCCCAAAAACTAAATCAACTAGTTCAATGTAGAAAAAGATAATAAAAAAATCAAACCTAAGATCAGGCAAACACTCATAGAAAGCTCTTGTATATATCTTCATCATCCCACACAGCTTCAGCAGCAGAAGATTCCTTTCCAGCAGAAGAAGAAGAATCATCTATTTCCACTAGTTACCCTCGTAGTATGACCATCCTCAGGCATCACTGGAGGTTGCATATCAACTTCAGCTAGACTGACAAGAGCAAAGAACAAAAAAAGTAATCTGAATAAAAGTACTTTAATTAAAAAAATAATAATAAATTGACCAATCAAAATATAACCCCTCCATCCCATAGAAAAGTTTGCATCTACTGAAAGTCTGAAAGATGCCCCACATTAAAGTACGCATTCTTCTTTTAGCAAGTTTTTTCACTTTACTTGTTCTTGGGCCTTTTACTCTCTACTTTCTCTCTTTAACTTTCATGCCATTCGTCAATAACTTGTGTTATTGGACAGAGGGAGTATATAAAGCTAAATGGATTCATATTTTTTTAAAAAAAAATTTGCGAGAAACTTACGATGATACACCCCGATACAAATGGTCATAAGATTTTCGCAGCTTCTCATATAAAGATGCATTATCATCACTAAGCTCCCCTTTTACATTCAAAATTTTTGCATTCTCATGCTCTATCTGGCGAAGAGACTGAAGAAGGATTCAATCAAAAATCAACAAAAGTTCCCGGGTGGAGTGGGGTGGGGTGGGGGGTTGGAAAGTAATTAACAATCAAAGGGAATTAAGGTGTTGCAAACTGTTCAAACAACTTCTGATGAAAAGAAAGAAAATATATTGGAACATTACCTATGATGTGAAAAGTTTTAGCAGCACACAGCAAACTTAACAATTCTCAGCATGGAAAATGGAAAGTAAAATTGGTGAGAGAAATAGGCACATGAAGCTAACACCAAAAGCAAAGTACTCAAGAAAGTAAACGAAGTGAATTTGTAGCTTACGAATTTGTATTGTCCACTGACCCAGAAATGTCATCACCAGTCACCAGATGGCTTGACTTCCTTTGCTTCAGTCATCAAAACAATGCCAAAAGTCCTTTGCTGCTGAATTTACAAGAAGCACCTGTATAATACACAAGAAAGGACAAAATGTCAACTTGCTAGGTGCAGGGTTTCATTTAACACCAGATTTATAAGTGCATGGGCAAATACAACAAGACTATGTTCTTGGCACCTTTGGGAATAGTGCACCTCACTATCAGTCAGCTTGAACAAGGAGCACAACAAATTCCTAAGAATTACATTTTTCATTGATAAAATGTACGGAGTACTTAATCTGTTTTTACAAATTAAACACTTCTGTCTTCACATTTGCTAGTGTATAGCTTCAACCACTAATATCCTTACAATTTAATTGTGTAAAATTTACACCAAAAAAAAAGATATTTTGAAAATATACATCAAGAAGAACTCAACAAAATCCCACATCACAATGCTTCTCTTTAACTATTAATCACTAATGTTAAAGAGAGTAGAGTGTTAAAATAGAGTAAAAATCAAAGCGTTTCATCTTTAAATAAAAAAAACTATTCATATAATGAGATAATGATAGCTTAAATAAAGCAAATCACTCTATAATGCTACAATACTAAGTAGTGCATATGCAAGACAGGTATCCAGTATCCACCAAATTCGCCCCGGCCACTTATGTCCTACAATGCTATGAGTACATTTGTAGCTAATATAAGTATACTAAGTGCACTGTGAGAGTGTGAGACATTGATAGTCTCACCATTGTTATATGTAGCTTCAAAGGGTAAGTTATTTTTTAAAACAAATACTAAAGCTACACACTAAAAACTTAGTAAACCCTACAGGCTACAGCTACAAAGGCTGGGATCAAGTTACACAGCATCAACATCAACAATATTCAATGCCTCTTAAGAAGTTCCCTTAGAGGCAGTATAGGGAAACCTGGTTGTCTGGCACATGCAGCCTATTCCAACAAAAACAGAAATATTGAGTTCATTAACCCTTGATCTGAAACGCAATAGCATCCACCACTTCACAGCATATAAGATGTGCACACATTTTAATGAGCCACCTTAATTGGCAGCCTCAAATTTTCAGGTTTACACCCAGGCATAAACTTTTTGTGTAAAGTAAACAAATTGCTTGACATCTTGGCACACGCAGGATGATCAGGTTTGAACTATTTCAGGATAACTAACAATTAACATAGAGTCATGTACATCGATACTTAAATTGACTGACAATCATGATTGATACAAATACTCCAAAGGTGTTTCTTATATCAACACAATTTCACAACCGCACATGTCAGTTTACATAACAATAAGCACGAAATCAGGATATTAAGTTCCTAACCCTTGATCTGAAACACAATGGCATCCACCATGTGCACATATTTTAATGAGCCACCTTAATTGGTAAACTTGTGTTTTCAGGTTTACACTAAGGCGTAAAGTTTTTGTATAAAATAAATTACATACTATTTGACATCGTGGTTCACACAAGCAGATCTGGCTGAACTAATTCGAGAAAACTTACATATTGCCCAAACTCAGGTACATTAGATACTCAAATTGGCTAACAATTATGAAAGATACAAAAAGAGAAAATGCTATTTTCTTACTCCCTTGTAATCATTCCCACTTGACATTTTGTGGCCTTCAAGACAGAACTATAATGAAGAAATTCTCTTAACTTATGCAAAATGTTTTTGTTTCGGTTGAAAACAATGGGACCTCGCCGAAGGTCCGCTGATATGGCGAAGACTGGATTCGGTCCAAGTTGTGTTGGGCCGAAGGTTTCCTGCACAGTGAACACACGTAAACTAGCCTCGGGGGTGTTTCCGAGGAAGGCCCCTCCGATGCTAAAGTCAGTACAATGTGTAAAAGGAAGACACTATGCAAGAGAGTTTGTAGCTTGAGGCTTTTGTGGAATATTTCTGAATGCAAGAATGAGCATATGAATTGGCATATGAATGTATGTGATCTCCTGTTGAATGTGTTAATATGATGGCTTTTATACCTCATCATACTTGGAGAGGTTGGGCTTTAGCCCAATTGGCTTACTTTGTGGGCTGACTTTTGACTTTTGAGCAATTGGAGAGTTGAACCTTGACCTTGGGCTTTTAATTGGATCATTTAGTGCTCAGGCCCAATTTTGACTAAATTGGACCCAAACAACTTGCCCCCCAGACCCGATTTGGAAGAATGACGGGTCGGGTTTGATTTAACTCAGAAAAGGAGGGAAGTAAATGATTTAATTGATCCAAAAATTTGAATTTAAACCGTAATTAATGAGATAACAACGGTTAATGATTTGCGGAAGTTGGACGGATAATGGGCAGTTTAATCACAAGACATGTGTTTAATGGTTACTTAGTGGGTACTTAAGAGAAATTAAAGCACAGACTCTTCGTATCCCGTACCTGGAGATATAAACAGAGGCGCGTCATTCTCCTCACTTATTCACCAACACAAACCCAGAATTCTTCGAGAGAGAAACCAAGAACCCGCATCAAAACTTCGCAAATTCCCCCGAGCATTGAGCTTAGAAACTGAGACTTGCCACTACGAACTCGTAAATCGGCAACTTTCGCTTCAGATTAAGGTAAATTCCTTTGATTTCAGTTTATTTTTCTTCGAATTCGAACTCCTTCCCCTTTTCTTTCGACTTTTCTCTTCGAAATAATCCATGGCAAGAGGAGTTAGAGGTAGAGCCCGTGCTCCAAGAAGAGCAAGGCCGATTCCCGATCCTAGGAATAGGATTGGGACCTGGAATGGTCAAAGGCCGGAGTCTGACCCTGCTGAAGGGATTAGGGCGACTCCCCTTTCCTCGGCTCCTCCTCAAAGAACGGATGAGCCGAGTGCTTCTGGACGGGACGATGAAATTCCCGCTGTCCTTTGGGATATCCTCCCTGGGTTTTCAGAGTGGGAGAATGCCGAAGTCGCTTCGGCCATGATAAAGAACCGCCCCTACTCATGGTGGGTAGAGAACGCCGATCAATATCGATTTGCTGAGCAAATTGAGTTGCACTACGGCATTTTTGAAGCTGATGGATATTGGTGCCGAATGCCCTCAGCATCCGATAGAATCCATCGTCCACCCCCGGGGTATGTGGGGGTGTACACGAGACAGCTTCAGTATGGGCTGAGGTTCCCTTTGGACGTTTTCGTCCGAGACTTGCTGATCCATTACAACATTTCCCTATGTCAGCTAACCCCCACCAGCATCCGAAGGGTGATGACATACTTATGGGTCTGCAAGTTCTTCAAATACGTGCCGAACCTGCATTGCTTCAGAAAGCTCCATCGGCTAGTGCCAAATATTCAGAGTGGGCACGGAAGCCATGGTTCTGGGTGGTATCGGATTGAGTCCCGGCCCCAATACTTGACCATGTGGCCAAATGACTCTTCAGACAAGGACTGGAGAGGTCAATGGATTTGGGTTAGGGCACCCACAGATCCGGGCCACCCTTGCGTCTTCAGCGCTCCCCGGTACTTAGCTGAGCCTGATCCCGAAATGGGAAGTCTAGGTCCCCCCGCAGATAACGGGGCGGATCCGAACCTGGATCAGCAACATATCTTCGGCAAGCTGCCGAACCCGGGGGGGAGTGGTCGAATGCAGCATATCCCGGAGACTTGGCTCCCCGATACGCATTACGTTTTCCAAGAGAATATGCTAGCAGCTGTTGGCCTCAGCCGAAAGTTTAAGGATGGTAAGCTTCTTCGGCTGGGGCCGAGGCTTTTAACTACCTCTTTTTCTTCTCTCGCTTTGCTTTTTTATGCTGTGCCAACATATCTGAGCTAAACTTTTTCCCTTTCCTTTTTTCAGAGCGGGACGAGACCAACGTTGGTATTAACTACGCTCGTCTTGGTGTTAACCGAGAGCGAGTTGTAACTGAGCGGGCCCCGTCTATCACTGAGCCGAGGCATAGGGAAGTTCATCTGGACTCTTCCCACTTCCAAATTGAGGCTGTTGCTCTGTATCAGAGGCAGAAGCCTTGGTGGAAGAAGAGAGACCCTTGGTTTCAGCTGCTGAACGAAGAAGCTGAAGCTGCCCGCACAGCCGAAGAGGTTGCACGGGTACTTGAGGCTTGCGAAGGAGGAGAAGGGTCCTCCAGAGCTGCTGAGGCCGAAGCTGCAGCTAGAGCAGCTGAAGAAGACGAGGCTTTGCTGAAAACCTCGGTGAGCTTTCAGACAACTTTTATTTTTTTATATTTTTTTTTTTTTTTTTTTTTTTTTTTTTTTTTTTTTACTCACTCTTCTTCCCCCCTGTCTGTTACAGTCTGAAGAGAGTAACAGACACAGAGAAGGCAAAGCTCCTGTTCGTCCCGAAGATCAAATACAAGAGTCTTCAGACTCAGATATGGACGAGCAGCCCCTTCTGAAAAGGCGCCGAAGAATGGCCATCATCGGCCCTCATGATTTTCAGCAGAGGCCGATGACCATCGGCGTCGCAATAAGGGAACCTGAGGAAGGCAATGGATCGCCGAGGGTTCCCCAGCCAACACCCCAATCTCCTCAAAAGACCCCTCCGCCACCTCCTGAGATGGAGGTGGATCAGAGAATTCCCGAACCTAAGGGAGGG